GTGGATTAGTTTAATTATTTGATTAAAACAAATATTATATATTTTAATTTTCTTTTTGTGCTTAAAGCTAATGGCTACCAGTCATAATTCTATACTGGGAAGCTAGAATCATCACTTTTAACACGCACTAGAAAGAGTTAGCGTTGAAGGAATAAATAATTAGTTACTTTTCCTTTTTCTATCTATTTTATGGAATTTTGGGGTAGAAAGTGAATTTCTTAAATGAGTATGGTGGAGAATTTAGGTAGATCTTAATGTATGATTAGCATCAACTAGAAAAATTCTACTACTTTATTACCATATATTTAAGATTGGGAAAAAAGAATATTAAGTATATATTCATTTAGGGAGAACATGACCATACTTTTGTATTTAAATTTACTTTTCTCCTTATGATTAATGGTTGTCAATATTAATAATTATAATAATTCCATCATGCTAAGATAGAATAGAATCATCACTTTAGCAATACAAGGAACGGTTGGCGTTTAAGTAATACTAATAGATTGGACTAATTAAGGAGATTCTCTAATCCATGCTTATAATATTTATGAATAGTTCGTTTGGCGAAGCATCTAGAAAAATAGAAAACTAACTTTTTTTACTTTTTATTAATAAAAAAATATTGATGTATTTGGTCAAATTATTAGGAAAAATAAGTAATTTTTAGTAGTTACGGAGACTGAATAAAATAGTTTATCTTCAAAAGTATTTTTCGAACCTTATAAACACAAATTGTTGTTCTAATGCTGGAGAAAATGTTTTTCAAATTAATTACCAAACACAATCTACTACTCTCAAAATATTTTTTCGAAAAAACAATTTACATAAACATTTTTTCAAATCTTAAAAGTTTAACTAAACAAGCTATAAATTGAGGCAAGGATCTAGCCTTTTATCAGTGAATACATCTGAACTCACTAGTTTTTATCCAAATTTTGTATAATATATAATTATGAATTTAATTATTATTATTATTATTATTATTATGTATCATTTAAAATATTTTAATTCTCAATTCGTTGCCGTCAATATATCTTCATTAGCATTTATAAATGAACAAACAATGCACATGGATATCTACTAACCACAGAACACTTTAAAACAAGTGATCATGCGTGTATAATATAGGGAAGGCTGGATATAAATTTTTAATTTTTTTTATCATTTGACTAATATAATTGACCATAAAACCTCTGTCCATCAACAATGAATATTTTGCTTTATGCTTCTTATAATCAAACAAACGAATATGGGGCTTGTTTGAAATTGTATCACTTCTCTAATATTTATAATACTACTATGATTCTCGGTGGAAAATTTCAGTAAGAAAATAGTGAATATTTAATAATGCGTGTCTAAGATTTATAATTTCGCATATGATGACACAAAACATAACCAAACAAACATTTCAAGTGACTTTCTCTTTTTATCATTTAATTTAGGTATAAGAGTCTGAAAAACATCTCAATTTTGGTCGAATTTGCTGTTGTGATACTAAACTTTCATGAAAACCTATTACCTCCCTAGACTATTTAATACCATATTTTTTACGCCTGAACTATTTAATAGTGTATTTTAAAGGTATCTATGTGCTCACGTAGACACATTACTATTTATAATTTTGCATTCAACTTTGGTCGAATTTGTTGTTGCGATACTAAATTTTCATGAGGACCTATTACCTCCCTAGACTATTTAATACCATATTTTTTACGCCTGAACTATTTAATAGTGTATTTTAAAGGTATCTATGTGCTCACGTAGACACATTTACTATTTATAATTTTTGCATTATTTTTTATTTCCATGTGGACAAATATATATGTTTAAAATACGGTATTAAATAGTCTAGGGAGGGTAATAGGTCCTCATGAAAGTTTCGTATCGCAACAACAAATTCGACCAAAGTTGAGATATTTTTCAGACCCTTATCCCTTCAATTTATGCTATGAAACATTTAAATTTTATTTTCCAAGTTCTTTGGATATATTAAATAAGATCACAAGAATATCATCACTCTGAAAATCAATTTATCGTAAAAAAAAAAAAAAGAGTATGGACAACAATTTCTATTTGTCCCTTTTTAAAAAAAATATGAAGAAAAGGGTCACACTTTTTGTAAAGTTGAAGGAAATCTAACACGGGAAACAACTGTATTTAGGTACAGCTCAGTTAATTAATCACATACAGCTGTGACCAATATTCTGCACCTTTCTATTTGGCTCAATCATAAATAGTTAGTCACTAAGTTAAGGAAGGTTATCACACGTGGTGATGAGATGATTGAAATTCTTTCACTCTTAATCAAGAAATTTAAATTTTCTTTGAAAATGAAACAAATCTTATTAAAAACAATTATTTCAAAATATATAAATTTAAATTTAGTTCGATTCTATTCGATATCAGATGGATTTAAAAAAAAAAGAAAAAGGAATGCCTTTTGGCAGCGGCGCTTGGTTGCTTACGAGTTACGAAACAAGGCAGTGGGCCACTTGGACATCGCAGTTGGGAATAACTGAATTACCTCATATTCTGCGTTTAATTTCTTGCCGATCTTGATTCCTTTTGTTTGTTATATTTTCTACGTGCCCTCACAAATCCAAAAAATGAAATCAAAATATAAATTCGATCAATAATATTTTTGGTCTCTTAATTATTGGTAAATTTTATTTGTAGTTCATGTGATATCTACCTAAACATACTAAACCTTTAAGTAATTATTGGTATGCTATATTTGTACTGTTATTTCATATTTCAGTCTAAATATAACATATATATTCTTACCTGAAAGACCAAAATATATATTTTAATTCAGGTTAAATATGTTGAATTATATATATGTCAAAAAATATAAGTTTATTATACTTTTAAAATTTCATAATTAGTATTCAATGACATATCAATATCTAACTTCTCGCACATATATTAATCTTTCTATGGTTTAAAGACAAATATTGCGGATTCAATCACCTATCAAATAACTTGTCCAAAAAGATGCAAGCATCAAGATTTAAAGTATGGATGTAAATTGCAAAAACAAAGTATTATACTCCTATAATTGAAGTATTTGACTCAAACTATAACTTAGAACTGAATATTCTAGTAAATCAACTATTACACTCCTTCCATAACTAAACAACTAGCTATTCTAATTTTTTTTTATAACAATGGTGCACTTAATTGAATTATTTATACAAAGGAATAGGAATAAATTTTAACTTTATACATTTTTTGCTTTTATAACGTACTCATATTTTAGTAATTAAAAATTCTGCCATTACAAACCGTGAGCAAACACTCAAAACAACTCAACATAAAGGTATTTTTTTGGAGAAAAAAATTGCAGGACTAGTATAGTAGTAAAGCTTAGGAGTTAAGCTAGAAAACGGTGGGGACAATAAAGACCATTTTCTTCCACAAATTTGTATTTTGTACCTTAAAACAAGGAACACCTCTATTTTCTCCTAAAAACAATAGATAAATCTTTTTTTACCACTAAATTAGAATCTCTACATCTACGCCTATTATGACCCTTTCTTTCTCTAATTCCTTCCTCAATAGACATCCTTTTTTTTTTTTTTTTTATAAATATTCCTCAATAGACATCTACTGTAGTTTTGGGGTATATGTAGTTTTTAGATCTACCCCAAAACTACATATATTTATTTAAACAGTGAAATCAGAAATTTTATTTATAATATTTAAATTTAATACGTATTTATCTTATATGTATAATTTATTTTTTTCGATAAAATTGTATTCAACCGATCAATCTTGAATTATTGTAATTATCTCGATTAATTTATTTCTTGATATTTCAAATATAAATTTAACACCGTTTATTAATTATTTTGACCATTAACTTCACCAACATTAATTGAATTGTTATTACACCAACAACAAAAAAGAACCGTAAATATTTGCCAGCATTAGGTGATTACACTAAATCGTGTAAATTTACCTATAATTAAGTAATGTAATGTGGTGACAATACATGAAAACTAACCTAGAATGACTGTAATTTGTAGCTACCCTCAATTCATTTATTCCTCGATATTCTAAATGATCAATTTAACGTCATTTTATTAATTATTTTGACGGACAACTTCACCAACATTAATTGAACTGTTACTATAACAATAAAAAAATCATTAATATTTATACTCATTAGGTGATTACACTAAATCGTGTAAATTTATTATAACTAAATAATATAATGTGGTGACATTCTTGAAAATTAACATGCTTAGACATAAAAAGTTTTATGTACAAACACATACCATACTTTTTATTGACTTGATATAAAATATAATACAATCCGTCAATTGTTTATAAAAGTGAAATTAGAAATTTTATTTAAATATTTAAATTAAATTCATATTTAATTCATTTATATAATTTATTTTTTTCGATAAAATTGTATTCAACAGATCAACCTTGAATGATTGTACCTACCCTCAATTCATTTATTCCTCGATATTCTAAATAAAAAACTTAACGCCGTTTACTAATTACTTTGACCAACAACTTCACCAACATTAATTGAACCGCTATTGAAACAATAAATATTTACTCGCATTAGATGATTTCACTAAATCGCGTAAATTCACTTTAATTAAATAATGTAATCTGATGACAATGTTAAAAAGTTTATGTACAAACACATATTATACTACTTTTTATTGACTTGTTAATAAATATCTAATACAACCCGCTAATTTAGAGTAATAATTAAGGTGAAAATAAAAAAGGTGGATCATTCGATTCCTCCAGTATATATTTAAGAACCCGCCAATTTCGTATTCTATACGCGCATGTTACGCCACAACGTTGCCCCACTCCTCATTATTTACCGTTATCAGACCCGATTATTACTGACAGTAAAATCCGACGGGGCACCTAAGGATTCGCAATCAGCACCCAGCTGCTACATTTACTTATATATAAACTCTTTCTTATTTTTTTCCTCCATAAATATAGTTCTTGTGTATGTTTATATTTAAGGCCTCAATCTTAGCAAGATAAATTTTATTCTTTTTTTCAAAATTTTCGGATAAGCAGGAACTTGTATTAGACTTAGACACCTCCATAAAGGTTTCTTTTCCCTTTTATCAAAACAAAGCAGCAGCTTCTTTTCTTTTACCTTTTTTCGAAGTTGATTCTTATCGTGAATTCAGTTGCATTTTTTTCATCTTGTATAAATTGGTGATCCCTTTCGTTTGGGGAACTTTAAGAAATTCAAGATGTTAGACGCATGGCTGAAAAGCAAATTCTATGCTAAAAGGTAATTACCATGATTCTGCAAGGAGGCTCTGTTTTTTTTTTCTGGGTTGGATTTTGAATTTGTTGGTAATTTTTTTTTGTTTTATGTGGTACAGCAAATCAACAATAAAGCTCACAAAGACTCGAATCGAGATGGTTAAAAGGAAGAGGAATGCAATGTTGAAGTATTTGAAGAATGATATAGCCGACCTCCTTAAAACTGGATTGGATGTTAACGCCTATAGCAGGGTAAGTTTTTCTTTCCCTTTCTTTAAGTTCTGAGATTTGAACCTTGAAATTTGAAGTATCTTGGTATAAGAAATCTGCCTCTAGCCTCTCGTAAGGTCTTTGTACAGTCTAGCCTTCCGAAACTCTGTTTTGTGGAATTTCACAGGGATGTTGTTGTTGTTGTGATCAGCATCTTATCTTATTTTGATGTAATGGATTTTTCTCTCATCAAATATAATGAAGATCTCCGTCCAGAAAATACTAAACAACAACAACAACATACACATTGTAATCCCACAAGTAGCCTAAGCTGATCTTATCGAACCTATGTTGGGTAGATAGGCTGTTTCCCATACACGCTCGGCGTCTTACTGCATTTCACTTGGCATCTATAAATGAAATTGAGTACCTGTTCAGGGGTTTAATATGACTGCTAACATGGATTTTGGAAGGAAAATTTGTTGTATAGGATGAACCGGTGATTGCCTTGAAGTTGGCAGAGTTAAATTTGTTTCATGTAATCGCGAGTCTAGAAATTTAAGTGTCTAGTAATTATTGAATTTCTTCTAATTTGTGATCTTTGTTGTTTGCTACAGGCTGAAGGCCTCCTGGTTGAGATGAATCTCTCTCGGTGTTATGATTTCTTGGAGCAGTATTGTGAACACATCTTAAATTATCTATCTGTGATGTATAAACAGAGGTATGTTTTTTTTAAAAATAATTATTTATATCTTGCTTTTTTCTGCGTTATTTTGTGTACTCAAATTCATGTTAGTTGCTGCTTATCTTCTGGCAGTTTGTTTAGTCGATATTGTGTTTACATTAGTTGGCTTGTCAAGATTGTTTAATTAAGTCCATTAGGTGCAGTTGTTTGAACATTGCCCGGTTCTTCAAAAATGTTGTTTGGTGCATGTCAGATCCTCAAATCTTGTGCATTTTGGATGATCTGACACTAGTCCGGTGATATTTTTAGAGAGTTTGAGCAATATAACATTCTATTAGCATTTCATTCATGTATGTTATAATTGCGAGATGAGAGGAAGCATTACAAATAGCTTCCTTCAGATATTTTGAGCTAAATATGGTGATCAAACAAGTATTTCTCAATTTCTGCGTAAAATTTACTTATAGGGAATGTCCTGAGGAGTGCAGAGAAGCTGTGGCGTCTTTGATCTTTGCAGCAGCAAGATTTGCGGATGTGCCAGAATTACGCGAACTAAGAAGTGTATTTACTGAGAGATATGGAAATTTCCTAGAATGTCATGTCAATAAAGAGGTAGTCACTCATGTTTTCTCCATCAGATAATATTTGTGTATGAAATTTACAAATGCAACTTCACTTTTTCTATCGCGATCTGGAAAATAAACTCTTTCTTTTCTATACAGTTTCTCCAGAACTTAAAGTCAGTGCCACCTACAATGGAGATGAAGATTCAGTTGATGAAAGATATAGCATCAGAATCTGGTATAGAATGGAATTCAAAGGCTTTGGAGCAGAAGCTATACAATCCACTAGTGTCGGAACAAGTAAGCCTTCAATAGAACCTCATAGTATCCTCATTTTTGCATCTAAGCCAACTCGAAATTTGAATTGCTAAAACTAAGTTTGATATATAAAGAATTGAAAGTTGTTTCAATTTTTTACATTTTGTTATCCTTTCTGATTAGAGTTTCACGTTTAATCAGGCTTCATCTGGATCTTCTTTGATTCTTTTGCAGGACTGGACCAAGAGTCAGAATGATCAGAAGTACAATCTGCACGGTAAGATGGAAGAATCACCTCAGAAGAAAGATTCTGAAGTTGCTAAGTTTGATCATGAGAACGCGAGGCAACTGTCCAAGGATAAATTGGAGCATAATTCATCTTACGGCAGAAAGGTAGTCCCTGATGATGAACATAGTTCGTCAAGGAGAAGGAGGGAGAGAAGTAACAGAAGGAGAAGAGATAGCCTTAGTAGAAAAACTGACGATTTGCCTCCAGTCAAAGATATTGAAGTGATCCAAAGGCAACAAAATAAACCAGAGATTGAGATTGCTCCTGAAGAAGAATCTGATGACAAGAAGCCATTGCATTATAGGTCAATTCTCCCTCCTTATATCAAACCGAGTTTAACAAAAAACACTTCAGATACCGTCTCTCCTACTAGCTCCACTGGAGAAGAAAATTGCAAGGATGATGCAGCTGAAAAAGCCAAGGACAAGCCAAGATCAGCTAGGACGAGACATGGCACAAAAGTCACAACTGGTGACGATAAGGAACCTCAGGATGAAGAGGAAAAACTGATCGACAGGCTATTGATATACCTAAGCAGGAAAAAGTACCAAAATTCAGTTAACGCACCAAAAGAAGCTGCAGTTGACAGTCCTAGTAAAGTGTCAAGGAGGAGAAGTATGGGGAACAGGACGCTATCCCTTCCAGCAGAAAGGGAACAAACAAGTCCAAGGGATCAAAGAAGAGGGCACGCTCGAACAAATTCATTTCAACCTGATATGTTGGGTTCAAATAGACATGTCCATCCTAAGCTACCAGACTACGATGACTTTGTGGCTCGACTAGCGTCTCTCAGAGAACAATCAAGAGAATAAGGAGAATATTTAATTAGATGAACTCATATACCTTCATATTACATTTCGTAGTTCATTTGTCATCATATTCTTCGTTTACATGTTAAGATTGTTGCTTGTAAGCAGTATATAAATAGCCCATCTCATGCTATTGTAAATAAACTAGCTAAATAAAGTTTTTTTTAATGTGTACCGTCCTTCCGTAGAATTCTCTGATTATTTACATCCATTAGTTCAAGTATCAAACTCGAGGCACTTGTAATTTTATTACGAGAGATATTCACCTTTACACATAAAAAGTCGGAAAAAAGTCATTCTTGTAGTCAAAATCGAAAAGGGTTATATTTTAATTTTGTAATGAAGTACTTAAATTAAAATACATAGAAGTCAAATCATCTATAGCCAAAATAACGTTTGGAAAACCCCCAAGTTGGTGCGTCGTTAACAACAACTTTGATTCGATGGAGCGCGAAGACGGTATTCAACAGCCATTGTCGTCGGAGCAAGTGATGAGTGAAGTTCACCTCGGCTGCCCTCCTAACCACTCCGGTCCCCATCTCTCCCATTTTACCATCTCGCTACCGCCTCGCTACGGTAAGCAGAATTTCCCCATTTTCTTCTTCAATTAGCTCCGAGTTGAACATGAGCCTCCGACGAACAATTCATAGCAGCAAAATGTCTACTACTGTATTATTTTTTTCATGATAATTGCTCGAATGAAACACATCCTCAGTGAACAGTCAACAGTAATGTTCGTAATTGTGTCAAATTACTAAGTTTCATTTTGATTGGAACTCTTATTTCCAATTTTTAGCTCCATGAATAGTCAACAGTAATGTCTAACTTGTTGGGTTCTGAAGGGTGATTAGGGCGTCATGCGGAAGCTTGTAATTTGCAAATCATATGGTTGATAAATCAGATAAGAAAAACTTATACTAAAAATCAAAATATTATTATATCAAAACTAATATAAAGAAAAACATTGAAACTTTAGAGAGAATAAATCTCCCCATAAACAAGACTCTTAAACGACTACATTGTGGATGTTATTGTTATTGTGTTAGAAGAAACAAACCTATATTTATAGAGTCCTAAAACCTTTCCTACTAGAAAAGGAGTCCTAAAACCTTTTCTTATTAGAAAAAGAGTCCTAAAAGGAGAGAATAAACCAAATATAAAAGAATATTATATTTTCCTTTCAAGAAAAATAAAAACATTTATGGTAATGTTTTGTCTTTTCTTTAAGGAAAAATAAATCTTAAATTATGGTAAGAAAATCAGGGCAAAACCCTAACATAACTTACTTGGAGAATTTTGAAATTCCTTTGTTTCTACTTGTTCTTTACACTTTTCTTCTTTATTTTCTTTTGATTATGTAATATTAAACTGGTGATTTTAAATGATAATAGTAAGCATCACGGATGTCATATGTAATTTGCAAATTAGAGTGACTATTGAACTGAGTGGATTGTTTGATCTGAACAATTAGTAACAGGGGATGAAATTAACTCGTGTGCTGGCTTCTTATAGGAAATGGAGAGCTGGAAGCACTATTAATTTTGTTGTTAGAGTAGCCTAAAAATCTGAAGCGATTGCAGAAGCTTGTTGGAGTGTATGTACATACTAGGAATACTGTGTTAAGGATCTTGATAGTATAAGAACTTTTAAAAGAAATTGTATTTTTTTTTACTTTGTAGAAAATTCCATTTTGAGAGGAAATACTGATGCAGTTGAGGATATGTCAATTTCTGCATCTACCATGTTTGACTTGGATGAAGATGGTGATCTTATTCTAACACGACGCAAAAGTAAGTTATCTTCACCTAAAAAGGAAGGCTTTTATCAAGAACTCTCTTTTGTAAGTGTAACTTTTGTCCACCATATATTAAAAGTTACACAATGCACCTGTCTTTTCAGCACCTTCATTTGGTTTTGTACTTTTAAGCCATTGTCGTATTTCATCTTAATATCTATTTACTAGTTGTTTTTTAATGTCAACCAGTGTTTGTTTATGAGCTTTTCATCTCGGTGCATACTCTTTCATGTTATTTCATCTGCTTTTGTAATCTAACGGTATTACTGGTTAATGATTAAAATGGTGGAGGTATTCCAATGGAACTGTACGAAACATGAAAATTTGTAGTTAATGTGAACTTAAGCTGATTTAGCCTACAAGTAAATGATTTCTGGCTTTGATTTCTGCGATCGGTTTGAAAATCATTGAGTTTGTGAACCTTTGATCTATGTTGATCATAATAGAAGCGTCTGAAGTACATCTCAAGTGAACAGACATAAGCTCTCTCTTTTCCCTCCTTATAAGTAGAGCGAACAAGACCATCATGAAAAAGTACTCCCTTCATCACATTTTGTTTTAACTGTTTAGTTTAGTCCATATTGAAAAGAATGGCAATGTATTCCATGATTACTTTAATATCACAAACTAACTAATACCAATAGGCAGCAGCACATGTTTTCTTCTCCTTGATTTCCTCAGTATTCAACCATGCTCGGTGAATTCAGGAGAAAGAGTTGAGAGAAGGCACAAAATTTTCCTAGACGAGAAGTGCCTTTTTCTCTTAGTGGTTTTATAATAAAATTGGGGATATTTATTGAATTTCCTAAATTACCTTCAGATGAATGCTCTTAAGAAAAAATCACATCTACATGGCTTGAATAGTAACATGGAGTCACTTATTATGTATCCAAGCTTCTTATCACTCCTTCCACCAACATTTCATATCAAATGCCATATACGTAATACATCGTTTCCTTCTACTTGCAGAACCACCTAGCCATCATCTTGTCTTAACCATCCAGCATAATATCACTTCATCGATTCCTAGAGTTGGTTTGCAGGTAATCAAAAAAATTCAGAGTTCGTTGGTCCTTATGTCTTGTCTTCATCTACCATTTCTCCCTTCAGCTTCTCCCCCCATATTTAAAAGAAGTATGTTATGAGTCTATGACATTTTCCATATGCTTTTGCTCCTCAATTTGTACGAGGAAATACAATATCTGAAAACTGTGTGAGCGCATCTTCTCTTTTCCGTAAGTGTAAAATGTCCCGAATGTCAGTGATCACTATTATCCTCATTATGCTATCTCAAGTTGAGTGCTTTATGTGCTATTCATTTAGTTGTTTTTTTCCTATTCAGGTTTGGAGAGCAGAACTAGTGCTTACTGATTTTGTGTTGCATCTTATGTCTACATCATCTGATTTTGATAAAGTTGTTGCATTGGAGCTTGGGGCTGGTACAGGTAAGTTTCATCACCTTTAATTTGTTTTGTTCTGTTTATAGTATCAGCATTGCTACCTCTACTCATTGCAAACGTCCCCATTTTACAGAGTAGTGATGCCAAGATCAGTACTTGCCTGACAAAATTTTCCTAAAACCATAATAAGCAATTTAACAATTAATATGGAAAAGACAAATAAATTGTTAATATTGCTTTTCAAAAACTCTAGGACAAAAAAGAAACTCAAATTTTCTGGTCATATTTTTTTTCCTAAACCTTTTTTCTTGAATTATTTTGATGACGAAGAGTGCTGTTTCAACTTGATACTTGAGGACAATCGTTCCAGCCTTCTATTCTTCTCCACTCTAATACCTAGCTTGATGCAACAACCTGGTTTCGAACATGTGGTGTGCAGTGTGCACATTACTATGCCTGGCATGTTGTACTCTCTGCCATTGAACCAAAGCCTTGGATTTTGGGGTTCCTTTTTTTCCAAAAATACAACAACTACTATAATGCCTCAATTCTCAGCTAGTTGAGGTGGGCTATATGTATCTCACTCTCCATTCCGCTTCCTGTGGACCCATTTCATTTCTTACCTTGTTTGTGTTTTTAATTAATGGACACCTAATCATATAGTATGTACTCCCGTTCATCAAACAGTTATCAATAAATTCATGCTTAAATTTCTCCTTATAATACAGTATGATATACCATGTGGGTCTTGATAAGAAAAGGATATGTGGGTTCAGCTGCAGGACCCTGGTGTTAAATCCCAGAGCCTATCAGGTACCTCTTATTGCAAACCATATTGGGATCAATAAATGGTATCTTATTGGGTCCAGAAACATCGGGATCGGCTGGGTATCCTTTTGGATTTAGAGTCATTTTTATTTGGTGATACCTGCCCTGCTGCCATCGCTACCACTGAATAACTGAAATTGTATTCTTAAGGTTTTCATTTGCTTGTAGCTACATCAAAAAATTTCGGACTGATCTCAAGTATCTAGATTTATTCAAATTTAAAGAATTAGTATCTGCTGTATGACAAGATATTCTTTCAATGTTTTTATCAGGGTTAGTTGGTATTTTGCTTGCCCGTGTTGCTAAAACTGTCTTCATAACAGGTATACAGCATTGAAATGCTGAAGTTCTATTCTATTTTTTTCATCTGATAACAATTTATCAATGTGCTATGGTCTGTAGTGTCATGCACATCATGTTTTCTCAAGTTACTCTGTAGATTCTTTTTTTTTCATACATCTTTTCAATGGCTTCAGAAGCTTTTCTAAGCATTAATGTCTTTTTCAAGCATATTACTTGGATTCCCATATATAATCACTTGGGAGATCGGTAACTTCTTTTTTTTTATCCTACATTTTTTGTGTGACTATGCATTTTACTTTTTTATCATCGGTAACTTTTTTTTTAATCTTAATTTCACATATTCAAAAGTTTGCAGTGGTCACCATCATTGTTATGGTTTCTCATCCTTGTCACTCTGAGGCTGCGGTTACGTCTAGTTGTATGTTGCCGACCTTGGTGATGAAGAACTTAGCGACAGTGGAGGGTGAATCTTAATGCTGCTTTTAGGCGGCTGCTTATTATTTTATCTTTTTGTGCAAGTAAATAAGTGAGACTTAGTAATTGGCACTTCCCATGCAATACATGTAGGTGGCGAGAGCTCCAGGCATAGAAATGTTATTTGGTTAGTGTAGGTCCTTTAATTTAAGGCCATCTGCTATCAGAACTTCATTTAGCATATTTTGGAATTTACACCAGTCACCATCAATTTTATCGTTGTCTTCTTTTTTCTGTTGCAATTGCTATGAACTGTCTATCCTTAAGTTAGAGCACTATGAACTGTCTATCCTTAAGTTAGAGCACTAAGGATGGCATGCTTTTGTCACATTTTCTGTTTAATCCCCAAGTTGTATGTGTCAGACCATGGAGACGAAGTACTTGAGAACTGTGAGAAAAATGTGGATCTTAATGCTGAAATATTCCATGGGAAGGCTTCTGTTCATGTACGTGAACTTGATTGGAAAGATTCATGGCCCCCTCAAGAGGAGAATACTTCACCATCTAAAGGAAGGTAATTGATTTGTCTGCACTATAAGAGACAGCTAGAGTTGATAACTACCTTTTGGCTTTTGCTAACATTTTTGGGTGGTTCTAGCAATGATAAGTATTACTAGAATATAAGCACTAAAGCAGATCAGCCAAATTTGTCCAGGTACAGCTGGACCCAATCAGAAATTGAAGAACTCAAGAAAGCTTCTTTGCTTCTGGCTGCTGATGTCATTTACAGTGATGATCTGACTGATGCATTCTTCAGCATCTTGAAGAAATTAATGTTAGACAACCCGGAGAAGGTACCATGAATGAATCAGGAGTACTCTGCACTTTTTTTGGGTGATGGTGGTGTCGGGACCAACTTGCACGTACCTCTAGTCATCCAAAACCTTTTAAACATTATGTTGTTGGCACCTTCAAGAGTGGAAGATCATAAAAGCATATTGGCTGACTGATTGTGTTGTTGGCCTTTACTTCAGGTGCTATACTTGGCTATGGAAAAGCGTTACAACTTTTCCCTTGATGATCTTGATGTTGTTGCAAATGGATATTCACACTTCCGTAGTTACCTGATCACTGAACAAGGTCAGCACGAAGCTGCAAACGGATAAAAAGTTCTTTTCACTTATTATTGGTAATTCATCACTAATGTATGTTTATGATATGTTACTATGCAGCAGATGATGCAGGATGTAAGCAGCTCGATAGTGCATCCGAGCCCTTCTTTGTTGGTGAACAGATCGATTTGAGATACATTCCATGTTATGTGCGGAATTACAATAGAGGGAATGACGTTGAACTTTGGAAAATTAAGTTAAATCATAAAGCACTCTCCTGAATTGCGTAAACACCTCTTATTGATTACATTCATCTTCAGTTGCAATGAACTTGAAATTCATATGCACGCTCTATTAGCATCACCTGTCAATTTTGTAAAACAGATTGGTATACCGGCAAGTGGTTTGTTCATGTGGAGAAAGGGAAAAAAGCACCAAGCAAGCAATTTGCAGGTATAATAAGAATAGTAGTGGTTTCAGAAATATGACTTCTCGACTTTTCCATAGTATTTTATTATAAAATTTAGATGTTCGAAGACGCGTCACATGCAATATTAGAATCTTTGAATGGTGCTGTTTTTAATTGAGAACCAACTTTATACTTTTGATGTGCAAAAGCTAGCAAAAAGTTATCCAATCCTCACCTTTCCTTTCTGTTGTTGTCTTTACTCACTAAGGGAAGTTTTGTCCTTTTTATTTGTAAGCAGATTTTCGAGCCAATTTGTATATATCTCGACTATTGTATAAGGCATTAGTTATGTACTTGCCACCGGCACAAGTGCCGAATTAAAATAATCGCCAATTGATTAAGGTGTCCCTTGAGTCACTAAAAGGAAAGTTAAGTCCAAATTTTCAACTATATACTAATAAACAAAACAACTGCATGCAAATACTGGAATTGCTTCTTTAAATAATTGCACTATTATATATTTATATTCCTACCTAAACTTGTATTGAAAGCTTCTGCTCAACCCCTCCAACACTAGAAAAAGTAATTAAAAGGAAAAGAGAAGTAAAAGTAGAAAACATGTATTGTTCTAATACATGTTTATGATAAAGTGTTGCTCCTATATTTGTTGAACAACTGGAACCCAAGACTCATAAATCTTAACTGCCCTCTTGCCTTTTGTAGTGAGTGACTGAGTTCTAGGTCCCATTTTCCCTACGTAACAATTAAACATATCAGACCCAAAAAAAAACTCATTTCGAAAAAATTGATACGTATCTATAAGAAGTCATATAAAATACTATATAGAAGCGAGCTTATTTTGGGTTACCAAACAAATCACCGATACGTAAACGGGGAAGTCGCTGTTGAGGATTAAGTAGACGGCGCCGTTAAACGTGAAATTTTCATTTTTTTTCTTTTGTAGTTTTTGCTTAATGGATTCGCCTTTTCTTTAGAAACAAAAAGCAAAAGAGTATTCTCTCTCTGTGTACAGAATTTCCATGTCTATTACTCTTTTTTTCAATTTCTGCCCAATTCTTCAGAGTTGATCCGATCTAAATTCTCTCCACTTCAGGTATCATCTTCTTAGTGAAATCTCTTCTTCTGTAAATTCTTGCATATATATGGAGTGTTAGTGTTGTTTGCTTCTTCTGTACAATGGGGTGTACGCAATCGAAGATCGAGAATGAAGAAACTGTTACTCGATGCAAAGAGCGAAAGCACTTCATGAAAGAGGCTGTATCTGCCCGCAACGCCTTTGCTGCAGCTCACTCTGCTTATACTATGTCCCTTAAGAACACTGGTGCTGCCCTCAGCGATTACGCTCACGGTGAGGTTCAATTTCCCTCTACTGCTGCCGTTGCCGCCGCCTCCTCCTCTTCTTCTCCCCTCCCCGGTGGTACTCCTCCCCTCTCTTCCGCCCCGATAGACATGCCTCCTCCACCTCCCCTACCGCCCTTTTCCAACACCTCTTTCCCAACTTCTCCTCTACAGCGTGCGGCCACCATGCCCGAAATCTCTATCCCCACGCCCGACCCGAAACGATCCGATATGATTATCGAGGAGGAGAACGAAGATGATATGGAGACTGAAAGCACGCATAGTTTAAGGCATCGTAGTAGTAAAAGCAGCGGCGGCGGCGGCGGAATTGGGGGCAGAGGTTCAGCATCTCATCGACAGGGAATCGAGGATGAAGAATTGCCGACGCCTCCTTCTCCACCTCGGACACTGCCGCAGAATAATCGAACGCCGCCTCCCCCACCACCTCCAGATAACAAAGAGATGGCCTCCATGTCATGGGATTTTTTCTTTCCTTCAATGGAAAATGTTCCAGGGCCAACTCTACAAGAGGTAGACGAGGGTAGGATGGAAAGAGAGGAACTTGAGCGGAGGATGATGGAGGAAAGGGCCAAGAGGACTGAAAACAATCGCCGTGCTGATGAAAGTGAAAGAGCAAGGAAAAATGAGATGCCAGAGGAGGCAGAGGTGATGGAAACAGTAGAGGAGCCTCCGTCACAGCCACCTCCTCCGCCTCAGGCTGCTACGAAGGTTGTGAAAAGAGTGAAAAATGTTGTTCCAGTAGAGAGTAAAAAGAAAGGAGGCCAGTTTAACCTTCTTCAGATATTCTCTGAGCTGGATGATTGTTTCCTTAAGGCGTCCCAGAGTGCTCACGAAGTATCTAAGATGCTTGAGGCAAATAGATTGCATTATCACTCAAATTTTGCGGATAATAGAGGTACATTCAAGATCTCTCTAAGAAATATTCAATTTAATTAGTAGTTTCTTTTTATGCAGGATTGGCTTCATTGTTACTCAAATGTTCCCAAAGTTGCAAGCCTTGATCAAGTTGTGGTTAATTTATGGGCTATTTTTTAGTGTGATTTTAAACACAAAATTTGATGTTTTACTTTCTCAATGATTGTCAATACACAACTGGGTTGTTGTTGTTGCTTAAATCTCTGTAATATTTGCTTCTTAGGACACATTGATCATTCTGCAAGGGTCATGCGCGTCATAACATGGAATAGGTCCTTCAGAGGTTTGCCAAATGCCGATGATGAGTTGGATGACTTTGATTCAGAAGAACATGAAACTCATGCAACTGTGTTAGACAAGATGCTTGCCTGGGAGAAAAAACTGTATGATGAAGTGAAGGTGTGTTTATTTATCACTTCCTGGTTTGCAATGTCTGAATACATTGGATCCTCGTTTTTTCCCTCCCAGCTCCAGGTGGCTTCATCTATGAGATTTTAGGAGTATTTTTCTGAATGTTTCATGTTGGAGTCTATACACACTTGTAAAGCACCTCAAGATGATAATTTAACTAAAAAGACCTCTGACTCAAGAACATTGTCAACATTTCAAAGAATTTGAAACTTCTTATTATGTGTCACATCAATATTGGGGTATATGAGTTACACCATGGTGTTGATAAGTGCTAAATGAAGCATCTGTGTAGCATGGAGTTCCTGCTAAACTAAGGTATCCTAATAGAAGATCTGAAGAAGCAGCTCCACTCAAATATATTCTTAGCTGTTATATTGAGGTTGAACATGCCCGGTCAGCTTGATGCTTTGGCCTCTGGTAATGATACCCAATATAAAGCACATAGAGTTATTTCCAAAAGCTGCTATCCTGTTTTTGGTTGATACTGTATAGAGTGCTTTATATCTGGGTATCCAAGAACACAGAGTTTATGTTGT